GTTGATGGACACTTAGGCTCTTTCCATGTTTTAGCTATTGTGGAGAGTGCTGCTATGAACATTGGGGTACATGTGCTCCTATGCCTCAGCATTTCTGTATCCCTTGGGTAAATTCCTAGCAGTGCTATTGCTGGGTCATAAGGGAGTTCTATTGATAGTTTCCTGAGGAACCTCCACACTGTTTTCCAGAGGGGCTGTACCAGTTTACATTCCCACCAACAGTGTAGGAGGGTGCCCGTTTCTCCACATCCTCGCCAGCATCTAGAGTTCTCTGATTTGCTCATTTTAGCCACTCTGACTGGCGTGAGGTGGTATCTCAGTGTGGTTTTGATTTGTATTTCCCTGATGAGGAGGGATGCTGAGCATCGTTTCATGGATACACCACATCTTCTTGATTCATTCATCAGTTGATGGACACTTAGGTTCTTTCCATGTTTTGGCTATTCTTCAGAGTGCTGCTATGAACAGTGAGGTACATGTGCTCCTATGCATCAGCGCTCCTGTATCCCTTGGGTCAATTCCTAGCTGTGCTACTGCTGGGTCATAGGGGAGTTCTATTAATTTTTTGAGAACCTCCACACTGTTTTCCAGAGGGGCTGCACCAGTTTACATTCCCAACAGTGTAGGAGGGTACCCGTTTCTCCACATCCTCGCCAGCATCTAGAGTCTCCTGATTTGTTCATTTTAGCCACTCTGATCGGCATGAGGTGGTATCTCAGTGTGGTTTTGATTTGTTTTTCCTTGATGACGAGGGACGCTGAGCATCATTTCATGTGTCTGTTAGCCATCTGGATGTCCTCTTTGGAGAAATATCTGTTCATGTCTTCTGCCCATTTCTTCACACAATCATTTGTTTTTAGGATGTGGAGTTTGGTGAGTTCCTTATAGATTTTGGATACTAGCCCTTTATCTGATATGTCATTTGCAACTATCTTTTCCCATTCCATCGGTTGTCTATTAGTTTTATTGATTGCTTCCCTTGCTGTGAAGAAGCTTTTTATCTTGATGAGGTCCCAATAGTTCATTTTTGCTCTTGATTCCCTTGCCTTTGGGGATGTGTCAAGTAAGAAACTGCTGCAGTTGAGGACAAGGAGGTTGTTTCCTGCTTTCTCCTCTAGGGTTTTGATGGTTTCCTGTCTCATGTTCAGGCCCTTTATCCATTTTGAGTTTATTTTTGTGTAGGTGTGAGAAAATGATCTAGTTTCATTCTTCTGAATGTTGCTGTCCAGTTCACCCAGCACCATCTGTTAAAGAGGCTGTCTTTTTTCCACTGGATACTCTTTCCCACTTCGTCAACGATTAGTTGGTCATACATTTGTGGGTCCAATTATGAGTTCTCTATTCTTTTCCATTGGTCTATGTGTCTGTTTTTGTGCCAATACCATACTGTCTTGATGACTACAGCTTTGTGGTAGAGGCTAAAGTCTGGGATGGTGATGCTTACCGTTTTGGTTTTCTTCTTGAATATTACTTTGGGTATTCAGAGTCTTTTGTGGTTCCATACAAATTATAGGATAGTTTGTTCTAGTTTTGAGAAGAATGCTGGTGTAATTTTTATTGAGATTGCATTGAATGTGTAGATTGCTTTGGGTAGTAATGACAATTTAACAATATTTATTCTTCCAGTCCATGAGCATGGAATGTTTTTCCATTTCTTTGTGTCTTCTTCAGTTTCCTTTATAGGTTTTCTATAGTTTTCATTATACAGATCTCTTGCATCTTTGGTTAGGTTTATTCCTAGGTATTTTATGCTTTGTTTCTGCAATTGTGAATGGGATCAGTTTTTTTATTTCTCTTTCTGTTGCTTCATTACCAGTGTATAAAAATGCAACCAATTTCTGTATGTTGATTTTGTACCCTGCAGCTTTGCTCAATTCATGGATCAGTTCTAGTAGGCTTCTACCTGAGGTAGTTTGTCAGGTTTTCTATGTAGAGTATCATGTCGTCTGCGAAAAGTGAACGTTTGGCTTCTTCTCTGCCAATTCTGATGCATTTTATTTCCTTTTGTTGTCTGATGGCTGACGCTAGGACTTCCAGCATTATGTTAAACAACAGTGGTGAGAGTGGACATCCCTGTCGTGTTCCTGACCTCAGGGAGAAAGCTCTCAGTTTTTCCCCATTGAGGATGATGTTAGCTGAGGGCTTCTCATAGATGGCTTTTGTGATCTATAAGTAAGTTCCTTGTATCCCAATTTTCTCGAGGGTCTTTATTAAGAAGGGATGCTGTATTTTGTCAAAAGATTTTTCTTCATCTATTGACAGGATATGTTTTTTTCCTATTCTTTGGTTAATGTGATGTATCACATTGATTGATTTGCGAATATTGAACTAGCCCTGTAACCCGGGAATGAATCTCACTTGATGATGGTGGATAATTCTTTTTATGTGCTTTTGAATTCAATTTGCAAGTATCTTGTTGAGGATTTTTGCATCTGTATTCATCAAGGATATTAGCCTGTAGTTCTCTTTTTTTGCTGGGTCTCTGTGGCTTGGGAATCAAAGTGATGCTGTCCCATACAATGAGTCTAGAAGTTTTCCCTCATTTTCTATTTTTTGGAATAGACTGAGAAGAATGGGTATTAATTCTGTTTTATTTTATTATTATTTTTTTACAAATAGCTTATTGTCAAGTTGGTTTCCATATAACACCCAGTTGCCATCCCCACAAGTGTCCTTTTCCATAACCATGTCCCCCCCCTTCCCCCCACACCCATCAGTCCTCAGTTTGTTCTCTGTTTTAAATGTCTAGTAGAATTCCCAAGGA